CACGGTATTTCTATCTTCTGGGATACACGACCTTTACAGTAATTCATACACATAATTACCTAACATTATCTTATCACTGACTTGAGTGATGTGTTCTCTTATTCTATAGTTTTTACTTGTTATGCAAAGGTACTGGTGGTGGGTTCCCTTTGGGAAGCCTGGTTATGGTGATGGAAGATGCAGAAGCACCACATCACATGCTTTTGTTGAGGAATTTCATGGCTTAGGGACTTGTTCAGGGTCAACCTCTTCTCTATGCTAGTCCAGCCAGAGATCTAAGGGAATTTTTGGGTACTTTGCCCAGTCCTGCTGTATCCAAAAATGACAGATCCCGGGAACTTGATCTAACTTAGGTCCCTTTATCTTTGACACTTGTTTTCTTTAGTTTCTCAAGTTTGTTTGAATTATATTGTATTTAAATGCTCAGATTGTGAATGTTGTATTAAAAAAAATTGAAGGAGAAAGGTTTGAGAATTGCTTGGCAGTATAAGAAATATTTTAGTGAAAATCAGCTCACTTTTGATGGCCAAAGACGTAGTTTATCCCTCATTACATTCCTCACTTTTCAGTTGTTGTTTGAAAGTGCACTATTCTTAACCAATGCTCAAGCTACCATTACTTTTATGTTGTTTGTTTGAAAGTGCCATGTTCTTAACCAATGTCCATGCTATCACTCTTCAGTTACTTATCTGAAAAATACCTTGTTCTTAATTAGTGTTCATGCTATTTTCTTTTCCAAAGTACAAGTGGTGTCTCTTTATGTAAACATGGTGCAGATGGAAAACGTAAATACTCTAATGAATTTGACTTGCGGAAGCCCCTGGAGAGGCACTTAATCAATGGCCAGCGCATAGATTGTGTTAGCATTCAAGATTTTTCTGACCTTTCCACTCTTCAGGATCGATGTGCAACATTTTTATCTCAGTTCCCACAGTATCATTGTTTGCCTTCTTGTTCATATATTAACGATGTTGGAATTATTTGATCATGCTGGCATATTTGGTAGTATATTTCAGATCCTGCGAAATTATTTGATTTTATTATTACTTTTTATGTTATATCCCTTATAGCTGCATGAAGAATCCTGTATGAAGCTCCAAAATCTTAATTTTAGTGTATTTGACTAACTTGCCATTACATTTATTTTCCTTCTTTCCATTTAGTATACTTGTCGGTTATTCCTCTTTTTCGACAATATTGTAGAAATGATGGCAGCATTTCTTGTGCTGGTCGTATCGCTATCCAATCATTTTGTGCTCCACAGTGTGTGTATTCCAACATGGTTAGTGGAATATTTTTTTAGATTTATTGAGCTATTATAAATTCTTGTTTCTTTTCCTTACGAGTGCTTAAATATAAGATGTTTTTGGACCATTGAAGTTGTAGAAGTCGTAGTTTTGGAACTCACTTTGATGGCATTCCATTTTTAAAGGGTCGTAATATGAACTATTGCATGAGTGGGATATGCTTAACTACTATTAGATCTCTCAAAAGCATGGTACAATCTTTGAATTCGGTAGCCATAATAACCTTTCCTCATTCCCTTCTTTCACCATCCTTCTGTAAAACATGGCAGCACATGGAAGACACGTTGTTTTCAGTCAAAGCAATTCAAGGTTTATTGTCAGTCTACCTCATGCTCATCATTTTCACTTATTGGTTCCAAGTTTGTACCGACTTGTTAATATTTTGGATTCTTCCTTCAGATGAAGACAAGAAGTTGGCACTACTCCTCATTGGTTACCAAGATATGGTTGGCTTTCTTAATGTGTACAAAGTGGCACGCATCAACACACATGTTCGTAAGCATTAATCTTCATCCCAGTCTTGTATAGTTTTAATGCCTTATAAATGATAAGTGATTCTTAATTAGTCTGTGGAATGTAGATAATGTTTTTTATTTGCTTCAATTTCCATTGCTTAACCCCTCAAGTTTATTCAGTATGCTTAACTACTACTTGTAATACAATTATGCTGATATCAGATTTTAATACCCTACAATTAATATGATCACAATAACAATGTTTCTCATTGTGTTTCTGTAATTGGCAGCTCAATTTTATAATAAAATGTACCTAGTCAGTTACTGCTATTGTGATTATTTCTATATTTGTGTTTCTATATTGTATGTGCTTATATTTTTTTAAGGTTGCTTCGCGAATTTTGTGTTTTTATCCACAATTGTTAATTGTGCTTCACTTTTTCCTTGCAGATATTTGACAGCATTGGTTATATTTATCAATATCTAAAATTATTGCGTCAACTTTCCCCTCAAGAATGGATATTTAATGTTCTTTTTGATAAATAAAACTATGAAGCTATATTTATTTCTAATTTATTGTATTTGCTGCTGCTTTACATTAACTATTCCTTTTGTTTCTTTGTTGCAAAAAATTTGCTTGTTTATCCACCAGAACATGTTATCTTTGGAGAATATGTCTATGAGGAGACGATAAGAAAGATTCTAGGTTTCTTCACTCCCATAAACATGAGAATTAATGTAGTAACAAAATCCTTCAAGCTAAACGGTACCATGTTCTGTTCTATTTAGTCATCATATTCTTATTGTAAAATATTGGACCATGTTTCTATGTTCCAAAAGTCTACGAACAATGACGATCTAATTTGAAGTCGTATGGCTTTCTTTGATTTGCAACTACCAGTTGGTTTGATTGTCCCTTGTACATTGTAAGTTCCCACAATTATCATGTTTCTTTTGTTATGTTGATTTTGTTTAACTAAAATGTGCTTAATTTCTTTTATTTATACTGATAATTATGGGAAAGCAACTGAGTGCATATACTCTCTGACACACAATATGTGTCATCTTCATTTATGGCGAGGGCTTCAACGACACACAATGTAAGTCATACATGCGTGTCATAAATTTATGACACACAAATGTGTGTCATCTTCATTTATGACGGGGGCTTCAATGACACGCAATGCGTGTCATAAATGTGCATCATAAATGTGTGTCATAAATGTGTGTCATAAATGTGTGTCATAAATGCGCGTCATAAATTTATGACACACAGTTGCGCTTCATCTTAAATTCATGTCGGTGGCTTCAACGACAGGCAAATGTGTGTCATGCGTACCCATAGATGACGCGCAATGCACGTCATTAAAGCGGTTTTTTCTACTAGTGGTACTTCAAATATTACCTAGGTCAATTTTTGTGAAATCGTGCCTTTTTACGAATAGTTGCCATTCCAAGAGGTGTCTTTACACAAGGAATTGTTCAATGACTCATATAAATGTAACTCACCTATGACCAACTTATCTTCAGTTCATACACATGGGAAGTAGCTTAAATAATGAAAGGTTACCTTATACACAACGTGACCTTTCATGACAAGTTGCTGCCCATTGGATGCCATGATACCTAGATGCTTGTTGGTGAGCTTATTGTAGCTAAATGGAGCTTAAATTATGGGAAGACATGAAGTAGCTTTTGTAACCATTCGGCCAAACCCTTAGCACACGCCTAGCACATGCATAAGACTTGGTGCAAAAGTGAAGAAGCATATAACCATTCGGCTAAGGGAGATACATTTTCAATTCAAACTGAATTGACATGCATTTACATGAAGAGGTAGCCGAACCAACACAAGGCCAAGGGACATCTACATTCATCCAAGCATCATGCATTTTCAAATAAAGTTATGTACTTATTCAAATATGCATATGATTATTCGGCCAAACCATCCTAAATCTACAAATAGGAAGGCTTATTTCATTTGTAAACACACTCTTTGATTATATAAAAAAATTTTGTGAGAATTCTCTCTTGCAAGTTCTTTAAGAAATTTATCGATTAAACAAACTTTTCTAAGTTTGTGACGTCATTCATTTCCTTTAATACTTTGAGTTCTTAGTTTCCATAACTAGAGGGTTCAAGTCCTATCATACTATCCCTTACTTAAGTTTATAGAGAACCGAATTAAGCTTTCTATAGCTTTTCTTCTTCTTTAACTTATTTAAGATACTACCTTCATCTTTTATATCTTCCATCATTTTCATGCCAACACCATTACCATTTCCATTATCATTTCATCACCATTGAAGCATTCATTCATTCATCATTAAGGCAAACTTTCATCAACACCATTGGAGGCCAAATTCATTTTCCATTAAAGGATACTTCTACATCACTTCCGCAACCAACTTTGATAACAATTCTATACCTTCATTTCTCGATTATTTCATTTCCTTTTCTTAGTTTCTTATTCCATTAATAATTTATTTCTTTAATTTGTGCAGATTGCTTATAAGTTTAAGTGTAGCATTTGGTGTGTCTCTTAGATCGGGAAACAACAAGTCTTCCATCTTCTCCATCATTAAAGAAGATGGATAGCCTTACATCATGAATGCTTGGTGAAGATGCAAGTGGTGAAAAAAGAAGAAATCTGAAAGTTTGGTTAATAAACAAATAACAAATAAGAACCTATACAAAAAAGTATAAACCCGAACCATATGCGTTCAATATTCAACAGACTTGGACTCGTTAGTTAGCAATCTAAGAACCTGAAGTATCACAAGTTTGACACGAAAAGAATAGAAATGAAATGTCAATAAATAGTTCTAAGAAAAACCAACATTGACCGAAAAACCTCACAATAATTTTTATTCATAAAATGTCTAACCTTTGTACTTACAAAATTACAAAATATATGGAGAAAGAAGAGATATGGTCAATCATCACTTGTGGCTACAAAATAATCATGTTTGAATTTAAAACTCAAATGAAAAAGCACCATATATCTTCCTTGTGTTGCCTCCCATTTGTGTGGCTGAAGTTGCATGATTTTAACACATTTTGCATGTGTTAAATGAGTAGATAAGGAGGTTATAACTGGCCATGCATGGAGGGAATAGTTTAGAATTCAAACAATTACACATGTTCTTTTAGTTTGAATTCAAATCTACGCATTGTTGAATTTCCACACATGTGCACAATATCACTCATGTTGTGCACTCTTGGATAGGTATACAACAGTCCACATGCTGCTCACATGCTTGTAGGACACTCTGATGCAAGTACGTTCTTACCATATGAAAGCATTGTTTACTTAGCCTTCAAGAGAGCACTCTTAAACCTTATCATACTTTACATCATTCTGATCATATATGAACTAATAACAACATATATATTGCTAAGGTTGTTAGTTATGAAATTTATTGAGTAAATAAACATGCATAATTATCCACATCTTTATATTACTTATTGTATGATGTTATTTCAAGTATGTTATTGATTTATATTAATCTTGCATTCATTTAGAAAAGTTTCAATTCATTCATGAAATGGCAGTATGTACATTCATTCATTTTTTAGCTCATTTTCATTCAAATAGGCTCCTAAGTCATATGCATTAGCTCACATATGTTATATCATATAGTTCTTAGCTCATGACATGCATTCATAGCTCATAAGGCCATAAACATGCACATTAGCAATGTATTTCATTCATTTCATCTTATTTCCTTTGATTTACCTTGTTTTATTTGCACATATAGGTACATGGATGCACGACACACATTAAGGTAGCTTGTGGGAGTATTTGGAATTCATATGCAACTCACAATTAGCTCACAAAGCTTATGTCAACTCATGGAGACTTATGGAAAGCTCAACTCAGCTGGAGGAGCTAGCATGATGTGGTCAAGCCTACATTAGATCTAGAAGTGATGCCTTAGGGTCCTATTACTTGATCAAAAGCCAAATAATTCAGGAAAGTACTGTTAACTAAGTGTCTTGATGCATTTAATTCATGTCACAAGTTAACACCATCCAATATTAAGTTATATAATGTTTTACTAGTTGAAATGTAACATAACATATCCACATCTGATGTGATACGATTCATCATCAGGTTTAACTTTGCATTTCCAACCTTTCAAGGGGATAAATTTTCTATTTTTCTACATAATGATGCTTATTTCGTTTGCTATAACATAGTTATATTCATATATATATATATACTACGTCTATAGCTATAATGATAATAACTTATTCATTACTATGTGAGGCATAAGTTATTAGTATATACTATAGTACACATCTTTATCATATACACATTAATATAGTTCATGTACTTAATCTTTATGCTTTTGAGTATAGGTACATTCGGCCACAACTTGGGAGTTATTTTGGAGCTAAATGGTGAAAGCAAAAGTGAGGAAACTTACATGGGGGCGTTTAGGAGAGATAAAGAACTTTTGGTGAAAAGTTATCCGGAGACCATTGAGCTCGTAGCTGGATTGAGCTGAATATTTGAGCTACAAGATCACTTCAATTCAGCTGGGGAGTTATACCACCATCATCACCACTCAAGACAGTTCAAATATATCCTAAGTCAAATTTTGTGAAATCGTACCTTTTGTGAATAGTTGACATTCTAAAAGGTACCTTTCCTCAAGGAGCTGCCATAATGTTCATCATGTTGCCATTCACCTATGGCTAGCTCACCTCAATCACATTCACCCTAGAACTAGCTTAAACATGAAAGGTTACCTTCCAATAATTGTGATCTTTCATGAATTTTGCTGCCCATGAAGATGCCCTTTCATCAAGGTGCATGTTGGTGAAGAGATTACGTCAAATGGAGGTCTAAATAATGAAGAGACATGAGGCAAAAACCATACCTATTCGGCCAGTGACACATGATGACTTTGGCTCCAAGATAAACAAGCACATCACCATTTGGCCAAGGGAAGGTTGATTCATGCATGGCCGAAACATCATGCTCCTTTATGAAGGATTAGTTGAACCATCACCAAGCCTAAGGACATATTCATTCACTTAATTAATTATGTACTTTCATTAGAGTCATGTACCTAGCCGAAACATAAGATGTCTATTCGGCCAAGCCCTCTCATTTCCTATAAATTGAGAGGATTGCTTTTATTTATTCTCATCTCATTTCATATAAACAACCTTTAGTGAGTTAAATCTTTTTTCAAAGTTCTTTGAGAACTTTATCGATTAACCAAGTATATTTCTATACTTGTGGCGCCATTCCTTCACCTTGATTCTTAAATTCCTAGATTTTATAACTAGTGGGTTGACGACACCATTACCATCCGTCAAACAAGTTTGTGAAGACTGGGGTTATGCTCTCTAGCATATCTTATTCTTTGGCGTGTTTGAGATACATTGTCATCTCCATCAACCATTCAACATCAACACCATCAACCATATACCTTTGAAGGCCACCAACATTATTATATATAATTCCACGGCCATCTCTTTTCTAATTTTGTTCCATTACTTATTTACTTATCCATTTTTATACCATTACTAATACTATTTCCTTATCTTCTTTGTTGCAGCCATACATATAATTCAAGGGCATTACTACTTGCCATTCCTAGATCGGGAAAACAATAAGGCTATCTATTCACTTCCATTGAAGAGTGTAGATTACCTTACATCAACATCTTTATATTACTTGTTGTATAATCTTATTTCAAGCATGTTCTTATTTCATATTAGTCTTTCATTCATTTAATTATGTTTCAATTCATTCATTAAATGACATCATGCTTAATCATTCATTTCTTATCTCATTCTCTTTCAAATCAGCTCCTTAGTCATATAGATTAGCTCACATATGTTATATTATATAGTTCTTAGCTCATGACATGCATTCATAGCTCATAAGGTCATAAACATGCATGGCAACAAGGTATTTGATTTATTCCAGCTCATTTCCTTTGATTTACCATGTAAAGGCGTGATAGCTAAAGTGGAGGGCTGCTACTGGAGTTTTGTGTGACAAGAAGGTTCCCTTAAAACTTAAGGGAAAATTTTATAGAATGGCAATAAGACCAGCGCTGCTATATGGATCAGAATGTTGGGCAATCAAGAAGAATCACGTAAGGATGATGGAGGTCGTAGAAATAAGAATGCTTTGATGGGCATGTGGTAGGAATATATGGGACATGACACCAAACTTTCTATTAAGATGTCCTTGGGGGTGGTTCATGTATCCAAAAAATTGAGGGAGGGAAAACTACGGGGTTTGGGCATGTATTTAGGCGACAACCGTCGGATGTGGTCAGGAGGGTAGAGTCGATTACAATCGACGATTCCAGAAGGAGAGGATGACCAATGCGGAAGTGGGAAGACTGCTTGAGATATGATTTGAAGGATTTAGACCTTACCAAGTACATGACCTCTGATAGGAAATTATAGAGACTTAAGACCAGGGTAGCCGAGTAGTGCGACTCACAGACATACGGTGTAACATCTCTGTCTTCCTTTTAATACCTTTGTAATAATTTCCATGACTTATACTTTATATACGTTTATTTCATTAGAATTTATGAAGGCTTAGAACTATGGTAACAGAGTAGTGTTGCCTTAGTTTAGGTTTTAACCCATTTGACTTTATTCATTCTCGTAGCTTGCTATCATTGACTTGTGCATATCATTCTCTTCATGTTTCTATTTTTAAATTTAGTTGGGTCTTATGTTTCTGTCTATATGCAGAGATTTTTACGCAAGGATTTATTTGCAAGGATTACTACCTATTACAGACGTGCATATGAAGACTGCATATGAAGACTGTTCAACTATATATTTATTTATACATACATTTTGCATTTTATCTTTATTTTTAATTTTTTGGTTGTCGGAGGTATTCCACGAAAGCTGCTCACAATCCTGGCGTTGGGGGCAACATACTACCCTACCTCCCCTTACCCCCATTGCATATGGGAATAGGGTTTTGTCGTTGTTGTTGTCTTTGCACATATACGTACATGAAAGCAAGGCATACATTAGGGTAGGTTGAGGGAGTATTTTGCACTCTATGGCAGCTCACAATTAGATCACAAGCTTCAAGGAAGCTCATAGAAGACAATGGAAAGCTTAATTCAGCTGGAGGAGCTAAAGGCTAGTTAAACTCAGCTAGGTGGACTACTTGAAGCTAAGTTGCTGAAAGTGACTAAGTGGGTTGCTGAAGGTATCTAGAGATTTTCTAAAGAACCTAGGAGGTCTCATATTGGAAGCTCATTCACCACCAGCCCTTGCATTCCTAGCTAGCTGCATACTAAAGCGAGCTTGGAGGAGAACTAATACACACCCAAGGAGATACACATGACCAGACTTCATCCCGTGCACAAGGCTACAACACAAGGCTCCCTAGAACTCCCATGTCAAGCCATACGACCAGTAACCATATTCCTTGCATGTGGTCTCTTTTAGGCACCAAAATGGAAGGCTACACAACCATTCGACCAAAGCAACTTAATTCTTCAAAATGGCACCAAGATGAAGCATCAAGAAGACTATTTGTCCAAGGGGCATATTCATTCATTTTGGCCGAATAATTAAGTCCATTCATCTACATTTGCTTAATTAAATTATGTCTTTTAATTAAAAGGAATCTACCCAGCCGAATAACCACCTATCTCTTGGCTATTTTGATTCAAGCACGTTTTCATCTACAAAGGAAGTACTCTTGAACATTTTTATATTGAATTTACTAGTTTAATAATATATACTATTATGATACATATCATGTTAAGAATACAAGTTATGTAGTTAATAAATAACTCAGTATGAATACATCATGCACATTGTTATTTTAATAGGTTAAGCATGTTAGAATATTCATACAATCATATTAAGCATGATTATCACATATACATCATGGCAACATACCTATCATTCATTTTATTAGCTCATATGTATTCATATTAGCTCCTAGACTTTATACATTAGCTCACACATATTATGAGATGATATATTTAGCTTATGACATGCAAACATAGCTCACAATACCATAATCATGCATGACAACAAGGTATTTAGCTCATATCAGCTCAATGCCATGGAATTACCTTGTTTCCTTGCACATGTAGGTACATTGGAGCATGACACACACTGGGGTAGCTTGGTTGATTATTTGGAGATCATATATAGCTCACAAATAGCTCACAAAATAAATGGCAATTTGTGGAACACTAAGGAAAGCTCAACTCAACTAGAGGAGCTAAAGGCTAGCTAAACTCAGCTAGTT